GATGTGTGCTGTCACGTGTGCAGGCGCACATGACACGCACCTGGCGCAGCTGGAGTATGCGGCACACCTGGCGCACGCATGGGCACGCGGCGCATCTGGCGCACCAGGCGTGCCTGCACGCTCCGGCCCCAGGGGTGCCTGGCGCGCGTGGCGCGCCTGGCACGCGTAGCACGGAAAGATTCGGCCCCATTCCGCGCACTGTTTTTTACACGCAAGATTCCGTGGAACTGGGTTTTCGCTTGGGCTTTGTTTCAAAATGTTGTTTTCGCTGAAGCGATGGCCTCATTTTCGGTTTTGCGTTCGTTCCGAATCGTGCTCCTGCTGCAGCGCTGGTCTCATTTCCTGGTTTTCGTATGTGTTTTTGGCAATCCGATTTCTTCGGTCCTTCAAAACGATGTTCCCGCTGCGATGCCGCCCCCATTTCTGCGCCCTCTGGTTGTTCCAAAACGTGTTCCCGCTGCAGCGAGGGCGTTTTCGGTCCTCCCAAAGAGGCCCCAAATTTAGAAAATTACGCAAGAACAAAGCATCGCAAGTGATTGCACATTTGGTGCCGATTCGTTGAGTTTTTGGGCCGCAGAAAGCCCCCTCCCACTTCGGGGCGGCGGCGCTTGGAGGAAATATCAAGCGGGAGCTCCGTTTTGCTTCCAGAAGGCGATGTTGCAAGCAGAGCCAGCGGGTGCTCTTCATCGGCCCCGCCTTGTGGGAAGCTCGTCGCGGAGCCCATGGGGCAAAACGTGGAGCCGCGACTCCAGACTTGCCCCGACCTTTCGAAGACCATCCACTTACCCTCCAATGAACCCGGCGCCCTGACCACGCTGTAATGCCGCGGCCTGTTGGGAGAGGGTCATGGTGCCCGGGGTCACGTTGATCTACCTCGCGAACGAATTCGCGGAAAAGTACATTGCCGGCAGGATCCCAGTGGGGGCCGGTAGTGCGCGCGTCGTCTCCGCCACGCTGCATGTGCCCAACAGCGCACCCGATAGCGACCCATAGGAGGCCAAATATAGGTAATCCCAATCCAATGGCCCCTTAGGTTGTGGTCGGATGTTTGTGGCTGTGGGTTATGATGTGTCGTCGTTAACCTGCGTGGGGGTGGAGGCGGCACAATGTCGTATCGCATGTTACCATGCGTCGTATCTTCAAAAAACTGTCCAATTGGAGTGGGAGGGTGGACTCCAGGAGTGTTGTAGCGCAGGGAAGCAGGACTCATGCAAGAGGCCTCCGCGAGAACGGAGGTAGCGCTGCAAGCGTCCTTGCGGCTGTGCGTAGATATGTACATTCCTCCGAGCAAACCCGCTACACCATGATGTTCCACCATGTCAGTAGTCCACCTGATAGTACCGTGGATGGCGAGGAGTAGAGCTAGAGCTGACCATCATAGGCCAGCTCTGCTACCAAGCTTGAAGGAGGCTGGGAGGCCCAACCAGAAGCTTCGGCGAAGGCGAAGCCCATATCCAACTCTGTTGTACCGTAGCAACGATAGTCCAAAAAGTAGGAGATCGCCGCGGGAGCGACGGGTCATGTCAAACGAACATGTTTTCGGTTTCAATGGCAAGTAGTGTGCCTCGCGAAGAGGCGCAGTCATATGTTGGCGGCCGGCCGCTTGAGCACAAACGGCCACGGACAAACGCTCGCTATCTCTCGCCTTTGCCCCAGCCTCCTTTAGAGTGGGGGGAGGGCGAGCCCGCAGACCGCCCAAGATGACCCAAGATGGCTCCAAGAGGGCCCTCGGCAGCCCAAGGCGACCTCCAAGGTGGCTCAAGACACCTCAACATCGCTCGAAATAGCCTCCGACATGCCTCCAAGACGACCCAGGACAGCCCCAGGAGGGTTCCGAGTGCCCTTCGAGCCTCCTACCGCACCCCCCCCAAGAGGCCAACATCCTTCGAAAACCTGAGACAAATCTTGAGATGGCCCCAAGATGGCCCCAGACGGCCCTAAGATGGGCCCAGGACCGTCACAAGGCGGCCCCAGGAGCGCGCAAGAGGCGCCCCAGAGCGGCCCAAGAGGCCCCCAGGAGGCCATCCTGGAGCCTCCGAGGGGGGGGCCTAAACTGGTTCCCCCCGCTTCTTGGATCGATCTCCTCCAAGATGGCCCCAAGAGAGCCCAAAAGGGGCTACCAGCACCACCAGGGAGACGCACAGTGTCACCAGGGAGGCCCTCAAGGGGCCCCCCCAGAGGCCCCCCGGAGAGACCTAAGAGCCTCTAAGAGGTTCCTCGAGGCATCAAAGACGCTCCCCGAGGGCCAGACACCTACCGAGACCTCTTCTTTCTCCTCCACCTCCTCCTCCTGGGGGGGGGGTCGCTCACGAAAGCCACGCTTGAAAGTTTCGTAGCTCAGCAGCTCAGCAGCTGGTGAAGCTCGGAGAAGAGTGTGATCCTAAGTTGGATTTAACTCGTAATCGTAAGGATTACTTGAGTCGTATCAAGCGGGATCTCTGGCCGAAGGTGTACAGCAAGACCGAACTAGCCAAACAAAATCCCGAAGCAGAAGCAGCAATTATGAGCTGCTCTCAGTGACCGACCTAATCGCTATACCCGTAATTCCGAAACTCCTCCTCCTCCTCCTCCTCCCTTCTCATTCGGGGCAATATGATCTGATCTTTTTTCCAAACCCGCTCGGAGAAGCATTGGCAACGAGTGACACATCCAGGGCCGCATGCAACCTCCTCCTCCCCCTTCCCCTCCCCCTTCCCCTCTCCCTCCCCCTCCTCCTCCTCCTCCTCCTCCTCCTCCTCCTCCTCCTCCTCCTCCTCCTCTTCCTCCTTTCTGATCTGAGGCAATATGATCTGATGTGTTTCTAAACCCGTTCGGAAAAACATTGGCAGCATGGTGGTGCAGGAGCCCCTCCCCGATGACACAACCGCGGCAGGTCAACATATGTTGAAGAGGACCCCAAGAAGGCCCCCATAGAGCCAACACGGCGACAGGTCGACCTGTTCAACCTACCTTTTGACAGTTCATACAACAAATGTGCCCGCCCTCCCCGCACCCCCGAAAGGCATCCAAGGCGTATGTCGCACTGTATGCTTCTACTCTGCCCTCACCAAGGCAATTCAGCCATCGATCGTGTCTGGATGGGCTGGTGGGGATACGCGAAGCGTCAATAACTGTTTGTTTCTCGATGTTCGTCTTCGATGTGGGAGCGGAGGCAACAACAAAAAACTCTCTCGACGCCGAGGGAGCGCGCAGAGGGGCGGCGCACGGGCGCGTCAGGGCATGACGCAACGGAGCGGCGCCTCACTGTGCACAGACGCTGCATCCAGCACCTCCTGAGACGTCCCGTACCTCGGGGTGAACGAACAAGAAAAACGCCGAGGTATGATGCCTGGTTCCACCGGCTGCGTTCATCCTTGATGTTGGCTTCCCGGGCCCGTCACCGGGCCCCGGGGCCATCAAGAATGGATCCAGGACGTAAGCCCCCCATCCCCAACTCTGGGGCCGAAGATTGAAAATCTCAGGTCGGTGGATGTCTGGATTCCGGTACCTCAACTCCTCGGACCTCTGCTGAGGTGCCCGTCCTGACCAGAATTTCGGAGAGAATCCAGCCGTGGCGACGGGGGCTGTCCATCGAGGCATCCCACATAGGGTCGGAGAAGATGGGGTCGGAGGATCGCGTCGCATCGACTACGCATCGGAGGTGCATCGGCGACGTCGGCGATGCATCGGCGCCGTCGGCGTAGAGTAAATAGAACACCACATCGAGCCGCATCGCGGATGCCTCGGCGATGCGGCGCGATCCTCCGACTCAATCTGCTCGGAACTCATCTGGGAGGCCTGGAGCTAGGGTGCGTTCTGACAATAATTTCGCAGAGAACCAAGCCGTGACGAAGAGGGCTTTCCAGGACGGGGAGCGGCATCGGCATCTCGGAGCAAGGCGAGTTGAGACGACGGCAACTCAAAATCGATCCCCGGACCCCTCCCGGGGTGAAACGCACCAGTATTCTGTGCTGCGTCTAGCCGTGGCAACGAGAGGGTCACCCGAAGGCCAACTACCGTTGGTTGTCTCAACTCGCCCTCCTCTGTCGGGGAAACACTGATTCGGGCCAGTCAGGCTTTGCAAGATCCAACAAGATCCTGCAAGATCCTGCAAAATCCTGCGCGCAAGCCCAGGTCAATGCACCCCTGGCCATGCAGGATCCTGCAAGATCCGGCGTTCTGGCTGACTCCGTTTGCATAGAGCCCCGTCTCTTACAGCTCGACTCTGAGAATCTGTTCTAGAGGAAGGAGAACGATGCACATTCACCGATTCTGGCCAGGTCCATAGGATCGGTGCATACGCCCTCCTGCCTTGGCCGGGGCGGCATATGCACAGATCCTGGGCCCAGGATGGGCCTGGCCAGCGTCGGTGTATGTGCATAGTTCTCCTCTCCCGATCTTCCTCCTCCGGGAACCACTTGCCCAGCCAGTGGAACGGGGTCGACCACCTCGGCTCCAGGCAGCAGCACACCTGCGCGGCGTAGTCCGCCGGGCGCGCGCGCAGGGCGAGCTCCGCGGGCGAGCCGAAGCGGCACCGCGGTGGCACATCGGCCAGCGGTTCACGCTTCGCCGATGGCGCAGGCAAGATTTACATCCCTATCCACTGCGTCTTGGACTTGGACATTCGAATTCGCTTCCTCAAAAGCCCGATACGCAGCGGACATGGACAACATCTGGCCTCCAGCGAGGCCGCACGTATCCGCTGCGTCTTAGGTTCATGGCATCCCTTCTTCGAAGAGCCTCCACGCCGTGGACATTGGTATAAATCTGGCCCGCAAATGGGCAGCGTAGCTGGGACGTGGGCCGGGTGCGGCACAGGGAGAGCAACGTGAGCAACCAATCCGTCTCTGCAAATTTCTTGGTGTTGTGCGAAGAGAGGAACAGCAGCGGGACGCCGTCTGGGTACCAGTGCGGGTCCATGTAAGCGTAGCGCTCCGTCGCGTAGCGCGCGGTGTACAGCCCCGGCTCGAGGTCGAACTTGCACCACTGCTTCTCCACTCCGTCTCGCCAGGAAGCCACGTTCAGCATGTCCTCGTCTTCCTCCGGGAAGAACACACGACGTCCGCGCCGATTGCGATTACAAAACAATGCAATGCATTATTCATTCGGCGAGCAGTAAATGCTGTAACTGTAATGTGAGCGCTACAGTCAATAATTGTTATCGGCGGCTATGCTGTGATTAGACTGGACTTCGAATCGTAAAGGGATCCGAATCAGAATTTGCCAAAAAGGATTGCCAGGGCCAGCGAGAGCAATTGAGTTGGAGAGGGATTTCATTCGAATTTCCAAGAGTTGGAGAGGACTCCGAATCGCTGCGGAATTGAACTCAGATGTGCCAGGGGATGCCCGGGACAGAGAGAAATATTGAGTTGGAGAATGATTCGCAGTTAAATGTCCCTCTCCTCTCTAATCATAATCGTCTCGAAGCCTGGCCATTCAATTACACATTATTTTCCAACTCAATATTCCCCTCTGGCCCCGGCAATCCTCGGGCGCGTATGATGATTTAAATTCCGTCCAAGTCATCATCCTTTCCAAGTCAGCAAATAATTGCTAAACGAATCAGCACTACACTGCAACGCAATGTTTCAAGAACACGCACTTGGATCGGTGCTGGACATCCCCACTCTCGCTGGCGCGCGAAACGCGCTAGCGGCAGTGCCGGAGGCGAAGCAGGGGGGCCCAGCTCCGATCCAACAGATCCGCGCGGACCTCCGAAAGTGCATGTATGTTCCCCACCCGACAAGTTCTGGGTGTGAGGTTTTCCAGCAATACAGCGAAACGCCCGACCAGACTTGCACACCCTGCATATAGCGACCACCAGGCCCAAAGCGTGCCAGTGTTCCTGGGGTGCCCCGCAACGTGCTCTCAACGAACGACGACTGCATACCGCGGCCGCCGGGCCCTAAGTGTGCAGGTGCACCCTGGGGAATGCCCCGCCTCGAGTTCTTGGGTGGGGATCGCTCGAAACAACACACGTGCTGTGACGATGCTCTTCTTGGACTCCTGCATCCACACCGCCGGGACAACCTGGCGAGCGGACTTGGCGAGGGACCCCTGCTCCAGCAGGGCGGGCAGCCCATGCGCGCGAGCCTCCGGCAGTCTCCAGGCCATGAAACTGATGTTCGGCCCTTCGGTCGCAAGCAGCCTCTCCAGCAGCGTGTCCAGCAGGAACGGCAAGGCCCAGAAGGACCACGTGGGGTGCGCATGGCCCCAGCGCATGGTGTGCGTGCCGTTGTAGCCGCGGAAGGCGTAGACCCGGTAAGGATTGCCTTCGTGGTCGTCCCGGGACATCCAGTGCACCGGCATGATCGGCCAGGGGTGCCGCTCGGTGACTTCTCGCGCCGTGCTGTTGAACATCTGGTCGATGCCAGCGAAGACGATCTGATCGGTGTCCAGCTCGACTCCGAGCACCGCTCGGGCCCCGACCATTGCGCGCAGCTTGTTGAAGTTGAACGACACGGTGTCAGGTTCTGGGAGCATCTTGTACACTATGACGTTGGGCATTTCGTGCCACTCCGCGGGCGGCACGAACTCGTCGTCGAAGACGACGACCACCAGAGGGCGCTCCGAGAAGATGTCCACCGAGCGGGCCAAATTGGTCGCCTGCCACTCGTACTTCGAGTCTTTCTTTCCCGCGACGTAGGTGACGTACGCGGCCTCCAACCAGCCAAACCCAGCTGGACCCTGCACGACCCAGGTCTCGTACTGTCGCGCAAACTCGCAGTCCAGGCGCACCTCGAGGAGGTTTCGGAACTTGGGAAACTCCTGTCTTGGACGAACACAACACGGACACAACACACTAAATTTCGGAGGTCCGCGCGGATCTCTGCGGTCGTCACAGGACCCCGCTCCCCTGGCGCGCGGAGCGCGCCCGGAACTGCGCCGAAGACGCCGCCAGGGGGGGGGGGTCTGACACCGACCAAGAAGTCCGCGCAGACCTTTGGAAGTTTCTATGTATACAGCTTGCTTGGGAAGGCCAAAGAATACTCACGGGACGATGTGACTAATTATACTGAGGTGCCGCGGCGAACCACGGCGCACGCCAAAGCTCAGCCTCTGGGCATCTCCAGATGGGCCCTGAGGCCCCCCCCCCTCCAAAGCGCCTAGACCTCCGAGGCCGCAATTATTTCTCAGCGTGGTCACCAGCTTTTCATTCTAAGCCACAAATCCTCCTGTCGATATCCTGTCGCGACGAGCCCAGGCATCCGATGTCTTGATTTTTCCATTGCGGGGTCCCCAAGAGTCCCGGCCCTTCCTTGGCCGGAACCGGACCATATACCAATACCGTAGCACCCCGCAATTGCGGATAAGAGTGAGGGGGCGGGCGCGGGCGACGCGGGCGTCGTCGAGCCGGCGGACCTCGTGGCCCCCACCTTCCCTGTCGATGGCGCTCTCCTCCTCCTCCTCCTCTCCTCCTCCTCCTCCTCCTCCTCCTCCTCCTCCTCCTCCTCTTCCTCGTCCTCCTCGTCCTCATCGTCATCGTCATCCTCCTCCTCCTCCACCTCGCCCTCCTCCTCCTCCTCTTCTTCCTCGTCCTCCCTCTCCCCCCCTCGTCCTTCCATCATCGTCCTCCCATTGTCGTCCTCCCCCTCATCGGCCTCCATCATCGTCCTCCCATTGTCGTCCATCATCATCCTCCTCCCCCTCCTCCCCCTCCTCGTCCTCCTCCTCCTCCTCCTCGTCCTCCTGCTCCTCCTCCTCCTCCTCCACATTCTCCTTACATCCTCTCTTCTTCCGCGTCCTCCTCGTCCCCTGTTTACTCCTCCTGCCTCCCCCTCCTTTCCCAAGATAACGGCAACGCAATCCTTTTTTCCACTTTATGCTCCCCGACTTCTCTGATCAAGGCAACTCGCCAGGGCAAAGTTGCTGGACGGGCTGGTGTGGATGCGCGGGGCTTGAAGAGGTCGTTGCGGGCTCAGACGGCATGCAAAAATCCGCCGCCGCGCTTGTGCGGCATTGGTTTGTTCAGTGAACGTGGTTTGGGTCGCGGGTGGGTCGCGGGGTGGGTCGCGGGCTCTCCACCTGGAAGGAATGCAAAAGCAGCCCGCCGCAGGCGCCGAAACATTTGGTTTGTACACTGAACGTGGTTTGGGTCGCGGGTGGGCCGCGGGTTCTCCCCTGGGAACGAATGCAAAAGATGCCCGCCGCAGGCGCCGAAAAATTTGGTTTGTACCCTGAACGTGGTCGCGGGTGGGCCGCGGGCCCTCCACCTGAAACGAATGCAAAAGATGTCCGCCGCAGGCGCCGAAAAATGTGGTTTGTACCCTGAACGTGGTTTGGGTCGCGGGTTGGTCGCGAGTTGGTCGCGGGGTGGGTCGCGGGCTCTCCACCTGGAAGGAGTGCAAAAAAAGCCCGCCGCAAGCGCCGAAAATTGTGGTTTGTACCTTGAACGTGGTTTGGGCGAAGGTGGGTCGCGGGTGGGTCGCGGGGTGGGTCGCGGGTGGGTCGCGGGTGTCGCGGGTGGGTCGCGGGTGGGTCGCGGGGTGGTCCGCGGGGTGGGTCGCGGGTGGGTCGCGGGGATGTCGCGGGGTGGTTCGCGGGGTGGGTCGCGGGGTGGGTCGCGGGGTGGGTCGCGGGGTGCGTCGCGGGGTGGGTCGCGGGGTGCGTCGCGGGGTGGGTCGCGGGGTGGGTCGCGGGGTGGGTCGCGGGGTGGGTCGCGGGGTGGGTCGCGGGATGGGTCGCGGGGTGGGTCGCGGGGCGGGTTGCGGGGGGACGACGACAACAAACAACAACAACAAAAACAACAAACAACAAACAACAAACAACAAGAATCCGCACCGCGGAATCCCACTTCAGCCACGCACCCAGGGACAGTGAATGACCGTTCGGCCCCCTCACTCTGACCACAAGTCTGTATGTTCCCCCAACGAGATGACCCTGAGATCCGACCTTGAGGAGACTTGCAACATCCCGAAAAATCGCGACCAGGGCTCGAACACTGGCGAAAAAAAGAGCGCCTGGATCTCAGGGGAGGTCTGGGTACGCCTGTCCCGAGGTTACTTTGAGCCTCCCCGAGCTTCGAGAACAAAAACAGAAAGCTGCATAGACACAATCTCTCTGAGGACCGCGCGGATTTCTTGGACTGGCGCTGGGCCCCCCTCCTTGGCGCGCGGAGCACGCCAGGGGCGGCACCAGAGGCGACGAGGCCAACGCCTATCCAACAAATCCGCGCGGAGCTCCGCATGGTCGATCCACTCGAGGATCGATCCATTTCGATTCTCGAATCGATTCGATGCGATCAGATCGATCCGAATCCATCCTGGGCTCACCGCCGAATATTGGGCCTCCCCTGAGATCGTTTATCTGACCCCTGTCCCCAACGGTGTGACCTGGGCCCCACTGGCCAATTTCCCCCTTAGATGGGGATATAGGCACGTTGTCTTCGGGTTTCGAGGGGTCTACCCCCAACTGGGGCGGTTGAGGTGGTGGGGGTCTGGATGGGGATGGAGATGGGGATGGGGATGGGTGTCCGTTACACGACCCTGACGGTTGAACGATCCTGACCCCCGCAGCTGGGGAAATCAAAAGGTACCGATACTGCTACTCCCCGGACCTCTCCTGGGGTGCGTTCTGACCAGGATTTCGAAGCGAATCCAGCGGTGGCGACAAGGGCCTCCCATGAGTGTCAAGAAAGGGAAGAGGAGGGAAGGGCAGCGCTATATGGGTACCTGTTCATCCTCTGAGGAGTTGCCCGGTCCTTGCAGATCTCCTGCGTGGCCTTCTCCAGCACGCCCTCGTTGGCGGCGCGCACACGGGGGTCGGGGGAGGTCCCAGAATCGAATCGATAAAATGGATCGGCGATCGACATGAATCGGATCGGCGGAAGTGGGCAGCCGAGTCGGGAAGGGTCGAATCGGCGGAAGTCGGCAGGCCAGTGAGGCATCCTTTCAGAAATCGAAGCCCAGAGCGGAATCCGAAGTCGAACCAGGTCGGAATCGGAAGCCATCGACGTCGAAGTCGAAACGACTCGGAGGAATCGCAACGAGCCCTGCTGACCCCTCCCTGGTGGTTCTCGGGCCAGAACTCGGCTCCTGGGCGGCGGTCGGGACGATCCGGGCACTCCCGGAGCGCCCTCTGCGAGGCGCAGCTGCTGGAAGGCATGCCGAGGCTGAAAGGCCGCCAAGAAGACTCGCAAGAACCCGCGACAATTCGCCAAGAACCACCAACAACCTGGAACCGCCAAGAAGAACCGCTGAAATATCGCCGAGGAGAACCGCCAGAACCCGCGACAGTTCGCCAAGAACCGCCAACAACCTGGAACCCGAGGAGCGCAGGGTCAGGGGAGGGGCAGGTACCGATCCCGCTGCCCTGCCATCGTGTCCACCTTTTGGAGGCGTCTTGGGAGGCCCTCCTCCAGCCGCCCTCCTCCTCCTCCTCCTCCTCCTCCTCCTCCTCCTCCTCCTCCTCCTCCTCCTCCTCCTCTCCTCCTCCCCCTCCTCCCCCCCCCCTCCCCCTTACCCCCTCTGCGCGTGGCCCACCTCGGCCCGAGCGCCAGGGCGGCCCTCGGACGGCCCGCGCGCGAGGTCGCAGGACCAGAGCAGCTCCTGCGCCCTGGGGAGGGGTGCGCCGAGGATGGGGGGCACCTCCTCGCTACAGAGGGGGCCCAAGGACGCACAGAGGAGATAGACACGGGTCCCAGGATCCCGCTTGTTGTCATGATCTTCTTGATTGTCGTGCCCCCCATCCACTTCCCATGATATGCGTTTCACATTTTTCTGTGGCGTCGACGATGTTGTGGTGTCTGTGTGTCTGTGTGCGTGCGTGAGTGCGTGAGTGCGTGAGTGCGTTAGTGCGTGAGTGCGTGAGTTCGTGAGTGCGCTAGTGCGTGAGTGCGTGAGTGCGTGTGGGTATGCGTTTGCGTGTGCGCGTGCGTGTGAGTGTGCGTGTGCGCGTGCGTGTGTGTTTTGTGTGTGTGTGTTGTGTGTGTGTGTGTCTCTGTGTGTGTGACTGTATGTGTGACTGTGTGTGACTGTGTGTCGGCCGCGCCTGAGGTTCCTCTGCGCCGCCGACTTAAAAGTGTATGTGTGTGCGTGTGTGTACCTCCGAGCTTCGAGAGGTTCGGCTGTTCCTGTGGACGCTGTTCGCCCTCTCTGGGCCTCTGGGGGGGCTTCTCGTCGCCATGGCTGGATCCGCCTCGAACTCCTGGTCAGAACGCCCCGCCTCTCGCTGCGAGGGGGCAGTATCCGCCAGCACCGAAGCGAACAGCAAACGGTTTGCATCAGAAAGTGCAGTCGAAACGACTCGGGTCGCAGGCGCCAGGATGCACAGCAGCGCCATGCAGCATCGGGCCGTATCGGTCGGCTACACGCAAGACTGACCCTGGGTACGAGTGACTTTTGGTGCGCGGACTTGGGCAGCGGGGGGACCACTACTATCGCATCGCGTTCGGCGATCATGGCACCCCAATGGGCCCGCACCAAGGGTCACTCCAGCGAAGGGTCAATCTCACGTCTAGTCGAATCGATCGCCCGAAAATCGGAATCGAATCGGACCGATTCGACCAGCCAGAGACGACACCGAATCGGATCGATCGGATCGACATGGACCCTGGGAGGGGTACCTCCTCTCACTGCGATGGGGCCATGCCTAATGAACCGTCTAACTTCGAGATTCGAAGGTTCTTGAACTTTCCAGCAATCGAACTGAGAAGGTTCGAACGAAATGGGAAGGACATGCCTGCATATCATATCCCACAGACGCCTGGCCAGTGACCCCGTGCGAATGCGAGTCGAAGAATTGTAAACAAACCTTTTAGGCCAAGAACAACGAATGCTTGAGCGGCTGAAGATCGCAGGAACCGCGTCTCTCGACATCACGCGAATCAAAGCAGGCAACAAAGGCTGAAACGCCGCAGCTCCGTCGCAGCCACAACAGCGGGGAAAAAATGAAAAATGTTTCGCCGCCGGGACGGCTGCTCCCACCCTCTGAGAGGAGGACTGGTGGGTGATCCTCCCTTTATGGTTCTGGGACGAATATCAACCTGAAAGCTTTCGAGCTTCGAGGTGCGACTGTTTCTTCAACGGTTTCGCTCTCTCTGGGCCTCTGAGGGACTTCTTGTCGCCCAGGCTGAATCCGACTTCAAATTCTAGCCAGAACGCACTCCAGAATGAGTCCAGGGGTTGACATTGGACCTCCAGACCCAGACAGACTTGCGTGGTAATAGACCGCGATGCGAGGCTGCTGTTCTCTTCGGCGACCTGGGGGCCCGCACCTGGCCCCGGGGCCGTCGAACAACTACTCGGGATGAGACACCATGCCAGGGGAAGGGCCCAACCCTCGTGGGGCATGGCGTTGCGAACAAAATTACGACGTCGGAGGTCTGGGGAGGTGGGCCAGAAAGGAGGGGGTGAGCGCATCATGGAGCGAGGTGCGGGCGAGGGTGGGCCAGAGTTCGGGCCGGACCGAAAGACAGGGGTTCCCGAATGGGGGGTCAAGGAATCAGGTCACGGAGTTGGTTTTCTTGGCGCCTCCCAGCGCCAGAGGAACCCACGAGGAATGCGCCCGGCGGCGAGTCCGAAACCAGCTGCATGCAGCAGATGTCGCAACCCCTCTTCCACAATCCACCCCCGCGTCCGACCCGGAGGGAGCGCATTGAAAGAGGAAGAGGGGGCCATGGAATCTGGGAGATTTCATGGCCCTGGCCTTCATATCTACTTTCCATGAATACGTAGTCCTTGCTTGAAGGCCGCCCACACTGGGAAGGGAGTAGATGGAGTGGGAGGACGGCGCCGCATCGCAGATGCATTGCCGATGCGTCGGCGAAGTCGGCATGGAGAAAATGAGGCTCCAGACCGCACCGCACCACCGATGCATCGGAGATACGGCGCTCTCATCCGACCTCCACCTGCCCAGACCCCATCTGGGCGACCCCCAGCACTCCGAAAAGATAGGCCCCCCATCTGGGCGACCCCGACACAGGGTGCTGAAAGGGGAGGAGGCCTTGAACGGTACAAACTCAACCTCTGGAAGCTCCTTTCTGTCCCCCGAGCATGGCCTTTCTGGGGTTCCCGTCAGAGGGAAAATGGCTGCAGCTCCAGCTTCTCTTGCTCCCGCTGCTGCCCGTCATGCTGCTTGACCTCCCCACTCCCCCCCCCTCCCCCCCGACCCGCCCAGCCGTGTACCCCTCTCGCAGGAGCGCACGAACCCCTGAGGGATGGGGCCCGCGGGACTCTTCAGGACCACAGCCCTCAGGGCCCCATCATCGAGTCTTTGAGGCCCAGACGCCAGCAGGAAAAAAACGGGTCAGAACAGAAACGGGTCCTGGACCAGGGGGCCTCCCTCCACGGTCCAGCTCTTCATGCCGAATCGTTTCCTGACAGTCCTGGGGCCCAAAGACGGCCCCGGGAAGACACAAACGACGAAAGAAGTCAGGGCCCGTGTCCGTCAGGACCCGTTACGGCGGAGCAAGTGGGGAGGAAGTGGGAAGGGACAGGCCTTCCCAGAATGCGGTGGGGCTTCTCATAAACTCCCTGGCCGTCTGAGAAGCCGTCTCTACCTCTGGAGACGGCTCATGAATAACTCTTCGAAAGGCCAGAAGCCGGAGGAATTCTGAGCATTCGGATAAGGCCCATCCCTTCTGCCTTTCCTGAGATCCGACGTTGCAAACAATGCAGCGTCGAATGAAATCACGACAAGAGCCCCGGGCCCCATCTTCCAACGTCATTTTTCAAGCGGGATCTATCGGTGAGACCCGGGGCCCGAAACCGGGTGGAAACGCCCGTTGTGAAACAATTGCAACGCCAGGAACCCAAGGCTCCCCCCCGCCCCCTTGGCTCGCCGCCGACGGCTTCCTTCCTGGCGAGGATCTCGACCCCCCACCCCTCTTAAGGAGGCCCCCGAAGGAGGAAGGGCAGCAGGAGGAGGAGGCGGAGGAGGAGGCGGAGGAGGCGGAGGCGGTGGAGGAGGAGGAGGAGGAGGCGGAGGAGGAGGAGGATGAGGAGGAGGCGGAGGCGGAAGAGGCGGAGGCAAGTAGGTAAGGGAAGCCGACGGTTTATCCTTCATGGCCAGGATTCGGAGGAGGTGGAGGAGGAGCAGAAGGAGGAGGAGGAGGACCATCACATTCTCAAGGGGGGAAGGCAGAGGGTTGGCCGACCCGACCCAACCCTCTACCTTTAGGGGTGACATCCGATCTCCCTTTCCACCTTTAGGAGGAGGAGGAGGAGGAGGAGGAGGAGGAGGAGGAGGAGGAGGAGGAGGAGGAGGAGGAGGAGGCGGAGGTGTGAAGACGACGAGGATGCGCCGAAAACGAGGAGGAGGACGAGGGGTGCCGAAAAAGAGGAGGAGGAGGAGGAGGAGGAAGAGGAGCAGGAGGAAGAGGAGGAGGAGGAGGAGAAGGAGGAGGCTGAGGAGGAGGCGAAGGCGGTGGAGGCAAGAAAAGGAAGGAAGGAAGGGGGAGGGAGGGGAGGCGACGGCTTCTGAGGAGGAGGAGGAGAAGGAGGCGGAGGCGGAGGAGGACGAGGCAAGGAAGGAAGGAAGGATGGAGGGAGGGGGAGGCGACGGCTTCTGAGGAGGAGAAGGAGGAGGAGGAGCAGGAGGAGGAGGAGGAGGCGGAGGCTGAGGCGGAGGAGGAGGAGGCAGCGGAGGCGGCGGCGGAGGAGGAAGCTCTGGACTCTGGATGACGACGAGTTGTGCCGAGAACGAGGAGGAGGAAGAGGAGGAGGAGGAGGAGGAGGCGGAGGAAGAGGAGGAGGCGGAGGAGGAGGACGAGGAGGCGGAGGCGGAGGAGGCGGAGGCAGGTAGGTAGGGGAAGCCGACCGTTTCTCCTTCCTAGCCAGGATTTTGCCCCTGGAAGAGGAGAAGGAGGAGGAAGAAGGAGTAGGAGGAGGAGGCGGAGGCGGAGGAAGAGGCAGGGAAGAAAGAAAGGAGGGACGGAGAGAGGGGCAGCCGAGGGTTTCCCCTTCCTGGCGACGATGCTGCCCCTGGAAGGAGATGGAGGAGGAGGCGGAGGAGGGGGCGGAGGGGCAGGCGGAAGAGGAGGCGGAGGCAGAGGATGATGATGCAGGAAGGAACGAAGGACGGAAGGAAGGAAGGAAGGAGAGAGGGAGGGGGAGCCGACGGTGTTCACATCCTGGCGAGGATTCTGCCCCTGGAGGAGAAGGAAAATGAGGAGGAAGAGGAGGCGGAGGAGGAGAAGGCGGAGGAAGAGGAGGCGGAGGAGGAGGCGAAGGTGGAGGAGGACGAGGCAAGGAAGGAAGGAATGAAGGAAGGCGACGGCTTCTGAGGAGGAGGAGGAGGAGGAGGAGGAGGAGGAGAAGGCGGAGAAGCAGGAGGCGGAGGCGGAGGAGGACGAGGCAAGGAAGGAAGGAAGAATGGAGGGAGGGG